CATCCACAAAACACCCTTAACCTGGTTGCTAAATTAACCGAGTTTCTGAATTTGGACAGCACACATTAAACTAACCAACATCAATACTAAGCTATAGAGGGTAGGGCTGACATAAGCTTAGTATGTTGTACAGATGTAGGTGCTAAGTTTTGACACAGTAATGCATGTTTAACACGGGTTAAACACAGTTTAACTCACAGTTAAAGTAAAACCCGGAAGCAGTTAAAAATATAAATATCCACATTAATTCAGTTAAAAATTCAAACTATATAAAAAGATCATATACCTAAAAAAGACTAATTTCTAATGCAATTCTCCATTGCTTCAATTAAACAAATATCCTTTTCTTGGGCAAGTAGGGGGACCCAAGAGATCTCGCTGTCTGGTAGTTCTTCATGAGAACTTTTATGGAGTCCTTGGGGTTCTCTGAGCTTGGTAAAGCTCAGAGACCCCCAAGGATTCCACAGTTCAGCCCTGAGCTACATATATTCTCTTCTATTGGTAAGAACTTTTACGTATATCACATTTATGTATATACCATCCCTCCTCCTATTTTCCCCCAGAACAACAACTCTGTAAGGTCAGTTGGGCTGAGAGAGAATGACTGGCCCAAAGTCACCTAGAGGGGCTCAACCCTGGGTCTTCCTGATGCCAGTCCTAAACTGTAACCACTATATGGCCCTGGGTCTCTGCAAAGTGAGATGCGTGGGCAATGCAATGGGAAACAAATGAATGGCCCAGAAGTTGAAAGTGCTAGTTATGCTCAGCTGGAGAAGAGTGGCTTGAGAAGGGCCATCATAGAAGATGAGGAACACAACTTGTTCTCTGTGGCTCCAGAAAGGGAGATGGGTCAGTCCTCTGATTCAAATGACAAGAAAGAGGATTTCGATGACATGTAATGAAGAACTACCAGACAGCAAGATCTCTTGGGTAGACAAGTAGACTTCTTTGGAAGGTGGCGGGTTCTACTAAAAGAGAGGAATCTAGGCCACATAATGCATTTCTAGCAATTTCACCCCCCTTGTTGGGTAGATTTCAGCTGGTATGGTCTCCTTGAAGTGCCCTGGGCAAACCCAGAAAATGGGGTTTATTAAGTAGACCAGTGTTTCTAACCTTGGCAACTTTAAGATGCGTGGACTTCAATTCCCAGAATTCCCCAGCCAGCATGCTGGCTGGGGA